TTTCTTTCATCATTGTTATAAATTGGTTGTTTCATAGAAGATCGTCAGTTGGAAACTGGACCTTGCAGTGGCTTGCACTGTCCACGCCGTGTAGAAAACGCCAAGTTTTGGACCGTTAATAAATCATCAAACGAAGTGCCGCCTAGTGTATTTCTACCGGTCATATTTGGTGAAGAATTCCTAAGGGTAATTTAACCCGGGGCTACTGCATATATGCTGTAGTAGTTAGATCCCAGTACTTTCATACAGCCTAGCGAGTTTGCCATCTTTGAGCCAAGATTGGACATGTTTCCGTTTGTTGGATATGACCAGTCCAACCCCGCTTCCCCTTAATTGCAACAATGTGGACGCTGCGGATTAAGATTGACCGTATGCAATGCAAGGACGTCAACGTGTTTCAAGTGTTAAAAAAAGAGGACACTGCACGGATGTGTTGAACACGGAATTCCAGAATCATCTGCGCTGTCTCCTCAATATCGACGCGCTCAGTCGAAGCACAGACTGACAAAAACATGTACAGTGCGAAGAAAATCAAAAAGAAAGCAGATCAGAGACAGAGAAAGAATCATCAAGTTTCGGACAACCCATAAGAAAAATCATGTTTAAGTGAAATGCCCTTAAGATGACTTAAGTTCAAGCGCCACTTCTCAGGCCTTTCCAAAAAGCGGAAAAATAACCTCGAATGCGTTACTTAGGCGTCCATGATAACCCCATTTTCATGAACTTTGAAATAAATGTAAATGGATCCGTTATCAGTATAGAATTGAACTTTATTGGATGTAAAAATATAAAATAAAATATATCAAAGAAGGGACTTTCAACTAAGCCGAGCTTGCGGAAGAGCCCCGAGGAGATGTGTTATTTTCATGATTTTTGATAAAAATTTGTTCATCTGTTCTTAATAGATTTCATCAGTCCTTAATAGATTTCAAAAAACAAAGTTTCGGACAACCCGTAAAAAGAATCATGTTTGAGTGAAATGCCCTTCTCATCAGTAAGTATCATCGAAATTCATACTGAAACCTTGAAAACTCAAACTGAAAAGTTCCGGCAACAGGCGTCATCCTACAAATCAGATGCAAGATTTTGTAAAAACATATGGATGTGTGAGCGGAAAACGTCTCATGTTCGTATGTTAGAAAAAGACAAAACTATCAAAGAACTCCAGAAAAAACTCTCAACTGTATCAAAGGACCTTGAGGAATAAAGGAAAGTGATTACTTACTATCAGCATGACACCAAAAAAAGAAACAGGAATAGATTAATGCTCTCATGCAAGACAAGAATGTAATTCAACGGTTTCATTCCTCAAGAAAAGCAATCTACAGTGGACCGCCTCGTGAAGCCAGAAACCAGTATCCAAGGAATTCCAATATTGTCAGAAGTATTCCTGACAACACTAGACAAACTTGGAAACACAAGGATGTGTTTCGGTCGACAACGGGGCAACTGTCACCGTGTGAAATAAACACACCTTCTTGAGTGACAAGGATTTTCTTTGATAGTGTTAATTATAACATAATATTTACATTTGCTGTGTTATTCTACTAAGCCAACTGTGAAATAGATATGAAAGTCATTTTTGTGTATACTCACGCGTAGAAATATACACAGTGAAACTCGCGCTAAAATGACGTCACAATGAGGCTACAGAGACGTTAATAAAAAGGTAACGATATAGGGCATCAAGGAATTCAAATATTGAGTATATTATTGGTGCTTTTAAACTTGTAAAATGTAAATATAAGGAATGTTTTTAAGTTTAGTGTGAATTATTGGTGTGTAAATCACACAGACTTGCACGTAAGCATATTTTTCAAGAAGCGCTAGCGCGCTTCATGAAATATGCCTACGTGACAAGTCTGTGATTTACACACCAATAACTCACACAAAACTTAAAAACATTCCTTAAATAAACCTTGACCGCAAGACATTTGATGCAACCTGTACTAGAGTGAACATGTTAATTATTATCCAATTATGTCCTTATGCTCAGAGTTACTCGTCATTGTAATTGTTTCTTTCATCATTGTTATAAATTGGTTGTTTCATACAAGATCGTCAATTGGAAACTGGATTTTGCACTGTCCATGCCGAATCCAGATCGTGTAGATCGTTAATAAGTTATTAAACGAAGTACCGACTCGTCTATTTCTACCGGTCATAATATTCTGACTCAGGAAGCAGCACTTTAGTATGTTTTCTAATAGGAATAAAAATAGGGATGACTTTAATTATTATTTTCATATACAACTCATATTTTTAATTTTATGTTGTGATAATAAATTATCGCTCTTCCTTTTTGTCATTGTTAAATTTCTTCATATCATGGTTTGACATAAAAATAATTTCTGTAAAAATAAGCAGCGCTTCATACCTCGTACATTTTTTCGTTTGAATCTAATGCTATAGATCTTGATGAAAATCAATTTTGGGAAGTTTAAAATATTTTTGTGAAATTTAGAGCAGAGGGTCATTTATCCTTAAGATGCAAATCTACAAAGGAAAACGCCAATTTGTGAACGAGGGAGTTAGGATTTGTTTTGCAAAATAAAGAATTCAGATAACTAAAAAAAAAATTTAAAAATATATACAGATGAGTGATCGCTATTTCTGGATTATAGTAAGAGTGAAAATTTAAGGTTCTAAGATTATAAAGAAAATATATGTTTTTACAATTATTCTCATTAAAGTACCCTTTAGGTCGTGAAGAAAATTAAATGTAAAATCAATTCATCCACAATCTCTTAATGTCATGTTCTGATAAGAATTATCAATCGCCACGTTTAGCTCTTGATAATTATGATTATCATTATTGTTGTCTTGTAACTGAGGAATTGCTCTGCTGCTGGTGATATATTGGGAAGACATTTTGTCTTGATCTTTCTTGGAAAACCTCCTGAAAATACAATATGAAAAGGTTTTATTGTAATAATTCAATCAGTCTACTAAAAGTTGAAAACTGCAAACTATACTGGTTCCATACCTAAATAATATAATAAATGTCACGGCAAACAGGAAGTTGATAAACACCGAGAGAGACAATCCAGCGATGTAAGCTTCTGGTATTTTGCACATTGCATTATCAGTTTCCCCAGAATTTCCTAAATGTGCGAGATATTTGAATAAAGCTGATAATTCTATAAAAATAATCCGAAATATGAATAATACAAGCGACACATGGGCCACAACGCTCACTTGAGTCAATATGGCACTGCCTTTTATCAGCAGATATTCCTATGTAAAAAAAAAAATTGTATTCCTATTGTATCCCATCCTACCCACAAGTGTCATAATTTGAACAAACTTGAATCTAAACTATATCTGAGGATGCTTCTATATTTATTTGACTAAACATGATCTTGCTGTACATGAAAAGAAGATTTTTAAAGATTTGGCTCTATCCTGTACCCCTAGGGGTCATGATTTGAGCAAACAATTCTACAATACCTAAGGATGCTTGGGTATGCTGTTCTTGAGAAGAAAATTTATCTATTTTTTCCCTATATACTAGTATATTCCTACGTAAAACTTTGATCCCAGTTGTGGCTTAACACTACCTCTGGGGTTATAATTTAAACAAACTTAAATCTACACTACATGAGGATGCTCCCATATCAATATATCTAATAATGGTTCTGTTGTTCTTAAAAAGACGGTTTTTAGCTCACCTGAGCCAAAGGTTTAAGTGAACTTTTCTGATCGAAGGGGGATCTTGCGTCCGTCTGTCGTGTGTCGTTTGTCTTTTCCCACTTTCGACATCTTCTCGAGAACCACTGCGCAAATTTCAACCAAACTTGCCACAGATCATTATTGGGCAAAGGGGATTTTTAAGTCTGTTCATTGAAGGGCCACGTCCTCTTTGAAGGGGAGATAATTAAGAAATAGTGAGAATTAAATAGCATGTTTTAAAAATTTATTGAGGAAGCAGTTGTTTATGATGTCAAAAGGCCTGCTCTTTAATTTATCGTGAGGAATGGTTGCACAAAGCTTGGAAAAATCATGTTTTGATGATTTTGATCTTTGAAAAGTTTTGAGATTTTAATTTGATTGACACCAATTCTTGATTATTTAGTTGCACAATGCGTCTGAAGTTTCTCCTTCACAACAGTTAATATTTTGGTGAGATGTAAAGATAAGGATTGGTTGAGCATTTATTGGACCCTGCAACATATCTTTTTTTGGATTTTATGATGTTTAGACGAGTTACTCCACGAGTTTCAATAACATTTTAAAATTGTATGTACTGAGGCAGAAGACACAATAACATTTGTAGGGGAATAAGGATTAACTTTTTGGCCTGTATGATATTCTGCTCATTTCCGTGGCATAACAGAAGCTGAAATTTTATACTTTTGCTACAGATATCTATATTACCATAATATCGGAATTATTTCTTTTTAAATTTTTCCTATAAAGAGCTAGGCTCACTATATCCATAAAATGGCTCTGTTCATATAAGCTAATTAATCAAGTCCCAATGTCCCATTTCAAATATCAATATAAAGTATAGACTTGTTGCTTTCATTTCCTATAAAAAGTTACCTCTAGGAGTCCAAATATTGAAAAACAGGCTTTGTGAAATTGCGATGTTCTTGAATTTTGAAGTGTTTTTGAGTACCTTCAGCAAAGGATTGAATTATGAGTCCACCCCTCGATCCAAAAAATAAATCATGGATTATAATCTTCTGAAACAGTTCTTTCATATATAATTTAACATTTTGGATCAGAGGTCGGGGTCTATGCAAAATATTGAAAACAGCTTAAATGTTTAGACATTTTTGAAGAAATTTTCAGGATTCGAGGATAATTACGCAATTTATGGCGTCATAATACATGGACTAGTGAGAGAATTACGATATCTTTAATAGATATGCAGTCACCGAGGGTTCAAGTGAAATTTCTTGTATTTTCAACTAAAGCTGAGCAGTTTTGATTTTTCAGAAATTCACTTGGCCAAAAAAGGCCCTCAGTGAACCTTGTTCTTAATAGGAAAACTTTTAAGCTGTTAAACAAAGGAGATATTTACTTATTTGGGTAAATATTTGCTGTACAAGTGTCCTCACATGCTCGTACATTTTTTCATCCATCTTATCAGTGCTAATATTCATCAATAAAAGTCTAATAACCTAGTATTATTCAAATAATGACTTTGCTTAAATGAACTTACGCTTGATACACAAATTTCCATAATATCCAGGTGCACAACCTTCAGTACACGATCCATTGACTGAATTACAAGTCGTGCTGTTCATACAGTGACTGCTGCAGCGACGTAGACAATCTTTACCATATGTCCCTCCTGAACATCCTTAAATAATACAAGGAACATGTTTTCCACTAAAACATAATGAATTAGCGAATCCCTGATAGTATTCTATATGTAGAATTAAATTGAAAAGCTGTTACTAAATAAATGAAGAAATGAAAAACCATATATAATATTCATATTATACTCACTGATTATACCGTACCTTGGTTGCATTTCAAACCCATCCACCCAGGTTCACATCTATATAAGCAGTTGCCTTGTATGTGATGACATGACTGTTTAACACAGTTCCTACTGCAGGGTAGAGAGCAGTTTTCTCCATACCAGCCTTCATCACAAGCTACTCGTTAACAAGTATATAATAATCATAATAATATTCAAGACTTGTGAAAAATTAAAAGCCTGGCCATAGCCTCTCAAATGAAAGAATTTTTTAATTCATTTAAAATTTGCGCTTTTGAATACACAATTAAGATAAGATGATGTGGCAAAAATACCAACATTTGGAGGGGTACCGAATATATAGGTCTGATTTTGCAAGGGTCTGCATTTACCTGATCCCTCCTAAAGTAAACAAAGGACAAGGGTGTAATACTTCTAACGTTTTAAAGTGGATCGAAGAACTTAAAAGACTCTACTTAAGCATTATTCAATTAAAATCCTTCTGTTAATCAATATATAATATATAAGCTTTGTTTCTTCACGAATGTATTCTTAGTTTATAACTTGTACTCGACGATCTGAGCAGACAGCCTGTCGTCAGTTCGTTTGAGATCTTTCCGTAGAACTTAGTGTAGTACTGCAGATAACCTTTTATTATTAAGTTTAAATTCTTTTTGAAAATCTTGTTTATTTTAGATTATTTAAATCTTTATCTTAAGAAATTGAAAAGTCTAGCGTAGGAATTTTCTAAATAACTGATTGCTGAGGTTAAAAAACTATCTTTGCTGAATACTAGATCTCGCCGAGCTAAAACTTCGGATGAAATTGTCTAAATAACTGAGTTGAAAAGAAACAATTTCAGCATTAAAAAACCCCTTAAAAAATAAGGTATCATTTTCAAACTATCATGTCTGCCTGTCATTGGCAGTAAGTGGCATTTTTACCTTACCCCACCTTTGATGTAAACATTTTTATTATGCCCCCGGATCGAAAGATCCCGGGGGTATATTGTTTCTGTCCTGTCTGTCTGTTTGTCTGTTTGTCTGTTTGTCTGTCTGTCTGTTGTCAACTTTAACCTTGCCCATAACTTTTGATTGGTTGGAGCTATGACTTTCATATTTCACATGTGTATTCCTTGTGACAAGACCTTTCCTTGGGTACCATCATATTTGACCTTTTGACCTTGACCTTGGAGTTTGACCCACTTTTGCAAAATTTTATGAGACTTTAACCTTGGCCATAACTTCTGAACGGTTGGTGCTTGGGGTTTCAAACTTCACTTGTTTATTCTTTGTGACAAGGCCTTCCTTTGGATACCAACAACTTTGACCTTTTGACCTTGACCTTGGAGTTTGACCTACTTTTGAAAAACTTTAACCTTGGCCATAACTTTTGAAGAGTTGGTGCTTGGGGTTTCAAACTTTACATGTGTATTCCTTGTGACAAGACCTTCCTCTGGATATCAACCTCTTTGACCCTTTGACCTTGACCTTGGAGTTTGACCTACTTTTGAAAAACTTTAACCTTGGCCATAACTTTTGAATTGTTAGAGCTAGGGCTTTCATACTTCACATATGTAATCCTTGTAACAAGACCTTCCTTTGGATACCAACGACTTTGACCTTTTGACCTTGATCTAGGAGTTTGACCTACTTTTGAAAAACTTTAACCTTGGCCATAACTTTTGAAGAGTTGGTGCTTGGGGTTTCAAACTTTACATGTGTATTCCTTGTGACAAGACCTTCCTCTGGATATCAACCTCTTTGACCCTTTGACCTTGACCTTGGAGTTTGACCTACTTTCGAAAAACTTTAACCTTGGCCATAACTTTTGAATTGTTAGAGCTAGGGCTTTCATATTTCACATAAGTAATCCTTGTGACAAGACCTTCCTTTGGATAACAACGATTTTGACCTTTTGACCTTGATCTAGGAGTTTGACCTACTTTTGAAAAACTTTAACCTTGGCCATAACTTTTGAATGGTGATGCTAGGGCTTTCATACTACACATATGTAATCCTTGTGACATCACCTTCCTTTGGATACCAACCACTTTGACCCTTTGACCTTGACATAGGAGTTTGACCTACTTTTGAAAAATTTAACCTTGGCCATAACTTTTGAATGGTTGGTGCTAGGGCTTTCATAAGTCACATATGTAATCCTTGTGACAAGTCCTTCCTTTGGATACGAACCACTCTGACCCTTTGACCTTGACTTAGGAGTTTGACCTACTTTCGAAAAACTTTAACCTTGGCCATAACTTTTGAATGGTTGGTGCTAGGGCTTTCATACTTTACATATGTAATCCTTGTGACAAGACCTTCCTTTGGATACCAACAACTTTGACCTTAACCTTGATGTTTTACTTACTTTTAAGTAACTTTAACCTTCGCCATAACTTTTGAACAGTTGCAGCTAGGGCTTTAAAATTTAACATTTTTTATCTTTTGGCCTGGATTTTGACTTGCATTTGAGAAACTTTAACCTTCGCCAAAAGCTGCCATACGGGGGCATCAGTGTTTCACAAACACATCTTGTATACAGTTATGTTTGGAAGTTGCAAGTGGTGATATTTGTATCATTACAAGCTTTATAAATGTAAAACTGTCAAGAGAAATTTCATATTTGTAACAATTTCACACATTGTCATTAATTAATAAATGACCTTTTTCATCTTCAAACAACTGTGTTGCGTTGTTATCAAATATTTGTGTTTATATTATATCAAACAGAACAACCTTTAGTGCGAGTCATGTCAGGAAGATGGGCATAAAAATTTTAAATACCCGGCCTATTGGACTTACATTACATTGCACAATACAGATAATAATAGAATATTACGTATACAATTATCAAATACAGTTTTTTTCTCTATATATAACAAAAGCCGTTTGTGCATAAGCTGAATGCAATTATTTTACATTTTGCAAATGAAAATTTGATAAAATAAAATTAACAAATATATGGGAGTTAGGACATATTGACGTGCGACTGATATAAAAAGAAAATTGCTGTTTAACTCCCCCTTTTCTCAATAATGGGGTGTTTTTTCTTCACCATTTTCGAATGAAGTGATAAAATTCATGTATTATATTTGAATTTTTTATGAACATGAACATCCTTAAATACACCAATTAATAATATAACAGTCGCAGTGCCGCTGCATATTAATTTTAATGCACGAAGAATGTTTATATCAATTTACCGTTAATTCTGACTGCGTAGCCAAGATATGAATTTCACATTACTAGTGTATATGTATTAAGTTGCTGGTCTTCCTAATATGTTTCTGCTTTTTGTGAAATGAAGGACAAAATTACAGTGTGACCTTTTAGTTCTTGCATTTTCTAAGTATATAGATATCTAAATAATCGCGATTACAATCAACATGACGTTGTAGCATAAACGCAAACTTTGAAATTAAATAGCAAAAACTAACGAGAAGAATATTTTTTTTATCTTAATAGTTTTCATTTTACCTTATCTTGACATTTTGAAATTCCTGACTAATTGGTCTTTACGTTTATCAAAAGTTATCAAACTTTTTAGGAAGAAACTCCTTCCGTAAAATTGGTTTTAAAACACCATTTTTCTACATATTTCAATAGGTAAACGGAAAAATACTACCAAAACTATGCCGCGCTTACAGTAATATTGCATCACTAACCCTGTAAGCAAATTTGATAAAAATTACATTATTATGTGCTGCATATTCTAGGAAACATTATATAAGGTTTTTATATAAAATTTTCAGGAATATTTTCTTGTAAGATTTTTAATGCAGAAAACCCGCGACCTACGTTAAGGAATAAGATATCAATTTTAGAGTTTTATTGGAGAATTGATTACATACCAACTTCATGATATCCCAATGAAAATCTCAAAACATGATTGTTGCAACCACTATTGAAATAACGACCATTATTGAAATGATAATTTCCAGAGTGGTTTAAAAATGCGTTTCAAAATAAATACAGGGCTGCAACCAATATTGAAATAATGTTAGTTCATTACTAAATTATTTCAATAGTAGCTGACAGTGCCTTTCAATACCAAAACCACATTACAACTCTTTTTAAAATAACGCCCACTATTGAAATATATATATATATATATATATATATATATATATATATATATATATATATATATATATATATATATATATATATATATATATATATATATATATATATATTAAAGTGTTTCTTATGTTTTCCAACATTATACAGTTATTGCTATTTATGATGTCATTACGATGATTTAGCCAGCCGAGGAGTACAATATTAACGGAGCCCGAAAGGTACTTTGAAGGTGGCTCAATCATCGTATTGACTTCAAAGACACAGTTGTCTCAATCTCATTAAGCAACCCATGCAATCTTATTTTTTACCTTTGTGAAGTCCAAACGCAATAATAGAAGCAGTGTTGAAATAAACATTAATTAACCAGTTAACCGTTTAACCAAATAATTTGGAATTTTTAATCTAATTAGGCGCGCTGTACAAAAACAAATGTCATTCACATAGGATCGATTTTTAAAGAGGGCATTATAACGGAAAAAAAGAAAACTTACCTAAAAAAGATCTTGGACAACCCTTCAAAAGAAAAGTATTCTCCAAACTCCAAATTTCATTTCTTTTGTGGGGAGGGGTGATGTAATGGTCCATTTTCTAACCAGGAAGGGGGCAACCAGCATTTCAGTGAACATTTTCATACTAAATTAATGGTAAAAATTTACGCTGGGAAACAAAAATGTAGGGAGGGGGATAGGCCCCTGGCACCCTCTACCGAGGTGGTTAAATCATCGTATTAACATCATAAAATGCAATAATTGTATAATGTTGGAAAACACAATGAACCCTTTTATTCGTGTATTTATTTCAATAGTGGGTGTTATTTTTCAAAAAGAATTGTAATGTGGTTTTGATATTGAAAAGTATTGTCAGCTCCATTGAAAAAATTCAATAGTGAATGTTATTTCAATAATGGTTGCAATCCTGGCTTTGAATTTGAAAACGCATTCTAAACCACTATTGAAATTATTTTTTCAATAGTGAACATTATTTTAATAGGGGTTTAATCTGGTTTGGGTTTTTAAATACATTCTCAACCACTATTGAAATCATTATTTTAATAGGGAAGGTTATTTCAATAGTGGTTACAACCTGTGTTAGTTTTGAAATGCATTCTCAACCACTATTGAAATCATTATTTCAATAGTGGTCGTTATTTCAATAGTGGTTGCAAACATGATATCTTTTTTCTTATGTTTCTATTTTTATATGTTACAAAGAAAACTTTACATTTTTTAGACTTCGCGATGGCAAATGTCTGTGATAATGGAACGATGTCACGTGACGTCAAAGTCTGTCTCCTTCGGTTTGCTATTGAACGCAAGAAAGTCTGATCACGTTTCCATCTTCATGTCATTAATAACTGAAGATCAAATTCGTTAGTATTGTCACATTTAAGGAAACACATCGGAAAATGTAAATATACGAAGATAGATACGTTTGCTCAAATAGTATAATATAAGAGAAAACATTTGCAAATGTTAATATTGACATTTGTTTTAAAAATAAAAGACATAATCTTTAATTTTGTAATTCAAAATCTTCAAAAGTCATGTCTTTCATACGAAATTTATATTTAACATGTAAAACAATATGGAACTTTAAAATGCAAAAATATTTCAAGTAGGAAAAAAATTATAAATATTTTTGTTTTTCAGCGTAATCTCAGTTATAGACGGAAGGAATAAATGCTAACAAAATGACCTTTATGAACTTACTCTTATTACATTTACGTCCTATAAATCCATCTTGACATCCAGTTTCACAATGTCCATCTTCGTGGTTACAATAGTTTATTCCGTGTCGGCAGTGGTTACTACATTGTTCTTTACAATTCAATCCATAGGATCCAATAGAACAAGCTACGTATAACAAAAAAAGATTATACTCTACTGGTTGGTTCTTAAAATGATGGAATAAAAAAGATGAAATTGGGTTTTACATCTGAATCTTTTGTAATTGTATCCTGGATATATCATAAGTTCTACCAAGTTCCGTTGAAATCAAATAAAAAGTGTATGAAGAGTAAACTTTGAAATATCTTATATTTTATTTTATTTTTAGTAAGCATGACAAAACTTTTTATCAGAATCTTTAGTCGATAATGATCAGTATGTGTTGAGGTCTAGTCTACTAGCTAAAATCGAGATTTATTGAAATCAAACAAAAATTATATGAGGATTAATGTTTTGAAATACCTAATACTATTATTTCAATAGCCACAGCAACAATATTGACCGAAATTAAAAGGCTATATACAGAATAACTATAATCTGTCAATCAGATTTTTTGAATCAAACCGCAGCTGAAGGCTGAGAAGCGTTTGAAAAATTTCACAAAAATATACCTGAATTGTAACCATCTCAACAGCAATCAATAAAATAAGTAACATGCAGATTCGGAAAATTGTGGTTCCCTGATTTTTGGGTTTTGTTGGTTGGAGTACAATGATTTATGGAAAAGTGAACCTGTCTTATTAGTTTATCATGCAAAATGTAGTACATGTTACATGTTCTAGCGCAGAAGTTAAAAAGGTTAATTTACATTCAGTGTAATTTCCTTAATGAAATCCATTGAAAATCTACAACATTTAATACCCTATAACACACAAGAAACCCTGTCACTGCTCGGTAGAACATAGACTTCGAACTATATGCATTTTCAATACTCTATGAACACCAAAATGTATATTTTTGGCTCAATTTCATTTAAAAATATTGTAAGAAATATGATAATTGTACGTTTAAAACCAATTTGTCATTTTTCCCCTCCCAATATTCATTTGCCTTATTTAATTTTCCACGTCACAGATGCTCTTACGTCTATTTATTCAATCTGTCGGCACGGCCAGGGGCTTTATAGAACCGACGAAATAAAAAAAATAACATTGGTAAATTAATAACTTTTGAATCAGAGGAGATAGGGATTTTATATTTCACATGTACATTACCTACGACAAGACCTTTAGAACACCTTAGAATACAATGCTTAATTGAAAACCACGTCAAACTTCAACGTCGTATGGTAAAACAATCATAACACATTGTGGAAAGGTCTTTTCGCAGTAAATGCGTATGTAAAAATACAAGCAGACAGATGACAGATGACTGACATCTCCCTTTGCATCTATTCTGGTTCACAACCAGTACAGCTAATACAAAATTATTTATTTAAAGAAATTAAACCATATTCCTTTTGTAAAAGATATGATGTCTACACGTTTCCAGGTTGGGAAAGGTAAATAATAATTGGACAAATACTTAAGATTTATTATACTTTAGTGTGTAGGGTTAATTGATAATGATTAAGTTGAATGTACAAACCAATAAATAAACTACAATACAATTGTGCACCATACATCAAACCTTTATCACAATGCTCCCCGGCATATCCAGGTTTACAGCCAAAATTACAACTTCCCGATGTTACGTTACAGGGAACGCCATTTAAACAGTGTCCACTACAGCTGTACTTACAATCAGGACCATACGTTTCTGCTGGACATTCTGCAAAACAATAGACAATCTCAGACTCATTCAGTACTCCTGTCTTGGATTTGGAAGCAATATGGCAAACATTCTTGTGCCTCTATCACCAGAGAAATGTGTACATTTTAAAGGATGTTCATTTATAATTATAAAAAGTTTGTTGATACTGCTCATTGGCATTCTTTTTCTCTGTAGCTTCTTCACAAAACTTACATTCATTACATGTAATTATCCAAACGTGCTATATGTATCAATTTTTCACAGCAATTAAGAATAAAGTTAATGAATTACTAATGCATGTCTGTTTGTTTGCATATGAAACAAGTTCTTTAAATAATTTTAATTTTAAAAAAGTCAAAATAAAATTGCGAATAAACGATTCATGTAGGTAAAGTTAAAGTATGGTCAGAAGGAAATGCAGAATTACAATTTTGTAAGAAAACTATTTTGATTTAACTTCATTTTTGTCTAGAAAGATGAATAAATTGCTACTTTTGCTGCATTCAATCCCTGTCCATCCATCAGCACATCCTTCATCACACACTCCAGTGCTATGATTACAAGCCTTATTGTATCTACAATGTCCAGTACACGGTGTCCTGCACTCCAGACCGTAATATCCAGCAGGACAGGCTGGCCAATTATAGAGAGTATGTTAAATAAATATGATTTTTTTTTCGAAGAAATCGGGAAATCGTAACATACCAATGTTTAAAAACACCAAAAATCTTAAAATTATTACAGAATTCTCCTATCCACCCAGCTGTACATCCTAGACAGGTTCCACTCACAATGTAACATCTTCGTTCTTGACAATTTTCTGGACATGGGAGATTACAGTCATATCCATAAACGCTAGGATTCTTACAACCTATTTGTTTAAAAAACAAAAGAAGGCTCGTCGTCATCTATTTGTTAGTAAAAGGTAATAAGGAAAAACATTCATTTTGCTTCCTTACCTGTAACCGTTACTTCACACAGTTCAGTGTAAACGTTTGAAGTTTGGTATCCTGTAGGGTATGTTATTCCATCCAATCTTTCGTTGTAAAATATTACAAAACGCCCTTGTATTACACATGTAGTGTTGAAATCCAAGGGAGGTAAACCTGGTCCGTCTCGGTAACATCGATATCCATTTTCTTTATTAGTTGAATTGGACACATAAAGGGAGAAACCGGCAAAACGACCTCGTTGTCTCATAACTACTGTTACTTGAATTATAAAACACGAGGTGTTTACAGGATATTTCGTGCCAAATAAATTGCAAATTTTGTACACATTGATAGATGTATGGTTTATCCTTGAGAGTTGACTAAACTTTTCCAGCATCCTTACCAAAAACGAATATACACAGGTATTTTCATAGTACTGAGGAGGGACCTAGATGCAAATTTTTAAATGATTTCCCTAGCAGGCAAAATGATTGATTTTCTTTGTTAAAATATGTCGTAAAATTCATTACAAAATAAACTGGACTTTATTTATGCACTTTTTTGCGTGTAAAACAGCTTTAAAAGAAATCTGTCCGGTGAAATCCAAATGAAAAAAAAAATATTAAGATATTTTCTATGCAATTTCTATGAATGGAATGTTGTACTGCAGACTCCCTCACTGTATTAGCAAATGCTTATATGTATTCCTAAAGGCACACACATGGACTAACTTGTTTGTATTTCTTAGTCTACCGGTCCTAGAGTAAAAGCTCGCGTAAAAATATTTATCTGTAACTTGAAATGGTCACATATCCAAGGGCGCTCATGCTCGCTACAGCCCACATGTAAAACAAGCAATACTTTTTACTCAGTATACAAATGTTTCAAAACATTCAATCAAGTAACTGTTATAACTTACTATCGTCTGTACCATAATCGCTGAACTGTATCCTGATACTGTATATGCTGTTTATGTCTCCAAGGTCTACATACCACCAAACTGATTTTGATTTAGCAAAAGTACCGATTTCACTTGTCTTCATACATGTTTGTAAGTTTCCATCCACTGCAAATGTAGCAGTACAGGGAAGGAAGCACAGAGCTGTTGAACTTTGAATGGCACTCTTATTTGCTGATAAGTCCTCTGAACAGAAAGTTTGCGTTTATTTTAAAGTAGACACACCTTTTAGCATAAATATTTTGGACGTAAAATAGCCCTTACTTCATGATGTCATAGGCAACTCATCTTTTCACTTTCAATTCTTTTATAAAACTACCATTTACCCCTTTTCCTTGAAAAAAATGAGGGGGGGTATATATTAATTAGTAAGTCGCGTTCGTACGTCCGTCTGTCCATCACTGAATGCAATTTAATGAATTTTTCACAAAATCTTAATTACATAGTGCTTTTGTGCATCTCCTATTTTACATTTCGATCCGACACATATTTTTGGTTTTCCATCTTAAAATATGGACACTACCATTCTATCTATAACAATGGGATACTAATCTCTTATCCGCAACTTCTCCTACACTGCTGAACAAAATTTAATGAGACTTTCACAGAATCTTTATTACATACGAGGGTCATTCAATAAATAATGCAAAATGTCATCTAAAAATAGGAAAAGCAGGTAAAGCAGATTCTTAATACTTTCAATCCCTAAAAGCATTCACTGTAAACATTTACACATGTCTAAAGTCTTTGTACCCATATATACTCGAAATTGTAAAGTCTTTCTTTGATTATTTTCATAAGTTTTTGGAATAAAAAGATCTCAAAATAGCTAAGATCTAGCAAATATGGGGGATGGGTAATCTTTGTTAACTTAATTTTCTTCAAATTTTTATTTATTTCTCTATGCTTATTTGCAGGAGCGTTAAAGGTACAGAAAAATACCCTGAGGACCGGTACATGGACTTGCTTTGCAGGAAATCTGCTTAATTCTTCCTGAGTGAAACTTTAACATAAAAGTCACCATTGAAAGTTCTTCCTTTGGCTGTATGTACATGTTTTACTAAACTTCTTGAATAAAAAGAAAATTTATAAAACATATTTGGAGCCCTTACTTCTCTTTGCAATAATAGGGCGATAGTTTCCTCTTTGATTCCACATTTTACTTTTGATCTTTCTTTTCGGCTGTAAAAAACTTCACCCATGTTACGGCATCTATCACTCAAGTTAATCAAATCTTTTTCTTTTTCTTTTTTTTTTTTTTCTTTTTTTTTTTTTTTTTTTGTAAAAATTTTCATTTTCAAATAGACCATTGGGCCATTTAACGTGTGTTTTCTCTTAAGCATTTGTAAGAAAATAAGACACCCATCTGATAGAATTATTGTTAGATTTATTTCATTTGTCAGAACTCTGTTAACTGTTGTGACGATGAAATGTTAAGCGTCTTAGCAATATCTATCAAAGTAAATCTGGAATTTTAAGATATCATCTTGCTCACTGCATTGATATTTTTGGTGCACCTACAGTTTTCGATTGACCAGTTTGACTGCGATCTTTTACTTGTACATTTATACTAATCTATTTGAAAACTATATAGCGTGAAGGACTAGTCTTCCTACATATTAAAATCATATCTTTAATATTTGTTCTACAGCTATATATGTAATGTAGCACAGTTTTTACATTCGCCCTCATTTTCATCATCTTGGCAGAGATCATTTTTAAGGTCAGACGACACGTTTCTCGAATATCTGTTTTATACCTCTTCATAATATATTGAAAATTATTCATAATTATCATTATCTTGTGATTTTTAAACTGTTTTCAAAATGTCTGGAAAAAAAAGATACACCAAATATTGTGATATTGACAATTGAAGAAATTTTCCATAGGATTATAGAGAAAACTCCATCATCTGGTATCTTGCACAAATGCCTGGTAAGGTACCTCAATTTTTTGTGAGGAAACTTGTTTAAGTAGCAACACTTCAATGAGAAATTTTTGGGAAAAATTATATATTATTGAGGATCGTGTCGTCTGACCTTAAACAGTTATCAGCTCAGTATAGTGGTCATGCTTACTTTAAAAGTGAATTTCTTTGCTAGGAAAAAGCATGGGGTTTTCTGTGATTAGGGGTTCCTTAAAAGAACTTTTCAACTGTTAAAAAATAAAATTAAATACTTCTACATTTATTATGATAAACTGTACGTTGCATTACTTATTGAATGACCCTCGTATTTCCATTGTGTACCTCCTAAAAAAAAATAATTAAATAGATTTTTAAAAAATGCTAAACACTTCTGTTCCAGCACTCTTCGTAAATTAATATTGGCTTTGGAACACAAAACCCCAATGAGATAAGAATCAAATAGATTCATAATATGTACTTATCATACCCATTAGTGATAATGATAATAATACTACAAAACACTATGCATATGTATGTTCGCATGTTGTTTTAATAAAGAAACGGTAATCAGCGAACAGGAAGTAATATTGAGAATTGAACTACGGTGACTTGTTTTGGCCAAAGGTTGTTACTTTTTCCAGATTTTTGTAACCTTGCATAGAAGTAAGCTCACAATCATTTTGGAATCTGGTGAGGATTTAAAATCTATTTCCCAATCAAATAAAAAGCTTCTGACATCTAAAAGCAACAACTCGTGGTAAACAAAAAAGAAAGTAGAACACATTTACCTCACAATACTGATTGCAACTTTTATTGTCAAGAATTCTTTTAAAAGTAAAGCAGATGCAATGAGGTTATTAAACAAAATTACGTTTTTAATTTTTACGAATTCTTCCCAAGTGTGATCTACGATAATAATACAAAGGCTTGGGAAAAGGACTATGGAGACAGGCTTTAGTTTAACAAGCATTCTGAGAGTATTGCATTAGCAATACTAGTCCCCTACCGGAAATTGAAATCTGGTTCCCGTAAAAAAAAATAAAAATGCCATAATTCCGTCAAAAATCAATGAAGCGGAACGAAATGCAAACTTGATCTATAACTCATCAAGGTAAAGCCACATACCAAAAATCAGCTCAATATCTGCAAGCGTTTAGAAAAAAATTACGGAAAACCCTGAAAAATTTAAAAGGTCGTAATTCCGTCAAAAATCATTGAAGCGGAACGAAATGCAAACTTAATCTGTAACTCATCAAGATACACTCACATACCAAAAAATCAGATCAATATCTGCAAGCATTTAGAAAAAAAGTGTGGAAAACCAAGTGGGACTGACTGACAGACAGACAGAGGGACAGACAGACGGACGGACAGACTCAGAGAAACCTATAGTCCCCTCCGGTTTCACCGGTAGGGGACTAATTATGGTAGATTTTTTCAGTGATTCGATAACACTTGATAATCTTTTTCGACTTTCATGTTGGTCTTTCTCATTTATAAACCTTAACTGTGACACTGAAATATCCCGTGCATTTTTTAAAATTTAAATCCAGATAAAACGGTTAAATTTTGAATGCCACAATGAATACTTGATCAAAGTCCTCCTGATTTTTTTTCCCGATATTTTCTTACTGTTTGTCAGCACAACGACAGAACTTTAACAGAGGATATTAATTGTAATTGACAAAACAAAGATATTTCGTTCAACTACCGGTAAATATCTATAGCGCTGCATAAAACTCAATGGGACTTTCACAGAATCTTTATTACATAGTGCCTTTAAATAACTTATATTTTGTTAACGCAACTCTTCCTAATAAAACCCCTACTTTCACATAATCACACTTACATACTTTCAAGAAATGTACTTGTCATTATACTCATATAGGAGCGGAGTGTGTTATTTAGTGAGGTCAGTACTCACAGTATCTCTGGTTTACTTAGTCTAAAGGAATTAATACATGTATATCATTAAGTTAGAGTATGACTTAAAACTGCTTAAATGAAGGTCATTGAACAGCCTGTAAACATTTGAAGTAAAACAAAATTAACATTTTCATATTAAATGATGATAATGAAATATATGGAGATAACGAACAGTATTCAAGCTCAAAAGTCCATTATACAATACAAAATAGGAGCAGAGCAAACACGGACCTCCAAACATCAGAGGTGGGATCAGGTGCCATGGAGGAGTGAGCATCTCCTGCCGACCGGTCACACCCGCCGTGTGCTCCTTGTCATGATCAGGAAATAACGGAAAAATCCGTCGACAATTCAGTGTGTAAATAATGGTCTAACAATTAGTATGAAAAACGTCAGTCAGCATTTGACTCAATGATAAATTGTATTTGCTGACAAGGTCATTGTATCGACCATAGAACTTACGAAATGATGACTTTAAACGAGACAGCTGATATTTTTGTTTCATCAACTTATTTGTCAATAATTTACCTCGTTTTAGAAATTGTACATACGTAGAGCATGCTCTTGCGTATCGAATCAACTGAGAGATATATACCCCGTATGCAGGTGATGAAGGTATATTGCTGCATAAGTAAGGGAAGTTGACGATTGAAAAGTTAAAGTCATCACGTTTATCATAAAGCTTGGTTGTTAGATCCAGATGGTAATGTCCCATGAACACCCTTTACAGGTAGATTTAACTTGATCTATGTATCCACTTTTTAAGCAAACTTTTATTAGGAGATATCTTATATGCATTTTCAGTGTAAATGTATTACATTTTGCTATATTTCTTGGATTACCGGTACTTTTTATTTAAAGCAGTTAATAATCTATATTTATACGAACTTTTTTCTATAAAGTCGACATTATTCTATAATATTAACATTTTCAAATAACTTTTTTTGTGATTAAAACACAATAAGGTAACAAGCATTTTGAGAGTATTGCATAAGCAATACTAGTCTCCTACCGGAAATTGAAATCTGGTTCCCGTTAAAAATTGAAAATGCCATAATTCCGTCAAAAATCAATGAAGCGGAACGAAATACAAACTTGATCTATAACTCATCAAGGTAAAGTCACATGCCAAAAATCAGCTCAATATCTGCAAGCGGTTAGAAAAAAAAAGTGCGGAAAACCCTAAAAAATTGAAAAGGCCGTAATTCCGTCAAAAATGATTAAAGAGGAACGAAATGCACATTTGATCTGTAACTCATCAATATACACTCACATATTAACCAGAAGTCTCTGATGAGACTGTAGCTCTACTGGTCTGTTTGTATAACAAAAGAAAAGTAGCACTTGGATTTAAAACATTGCAACATGCAACAATAATTAGAATTATGTATCTTAATGTAGTCTACTTCTGTGCCAAGTTATATTGAAATCAAATGAAAACTGTAGGAGGAGTAGCGTTTTGAAAGTATTTCACGGAAATTTCTATTTTTAGTAACCATGACCATTCAATCAAATAAAAAAACAGAAATACATATTATGTATCGTAGTGTATTCTAACTGTGTGCCAAATTAGATTGAAATCAGACCAAAATTGTAGGAGAAGTAACGTTTAATGAGAATTTCACAAAAATTTCTATTTTAAGTAACCATGGCAACACTCTTCATCGAATTCAAAAACCAATGCAATAAATTATGTATCTTAGTATAGTCTTCTTGTATGCCTAATTATATTAGAAGTAGACTAAAACTGTAGCAGGACTAGTGTTTTAAAGGAATTTCACAGAAATTTCTATTTTTAGTAACCATGGCAACACTGTCCATTGAATTCAAAAACCGATGCAATAAATTATGTATCTTAGTGTAGTCTACTTGTGTGCCAAGTTATATTGAAATCAGACCAAAACTGTAGGAGGAGTAGCGTTTTAAAGGAATTTCACAGAAATTTCTATTTTTAGTAACCATGGCAACACCGTCCATTGAAATCAAAAACCGATGCACTAAATTATGTATCTTAGTGTTGTCTACTTGTAAGCCAAGTTATATTGAAATCGGACCAAAACTGTAGGAGGAGTAGCGTTTTAAAGGAATTTCACAGAAATTTCTATTTTTAGTAACCATGGCAACACCGTCCATTGAAATCAAAAACCGATGCATTAATTATGTATCTTTGTGTTGTCTACTTGTAAGCCAAGTTATATTGAAATCGGACCAAAACTGTAGGAGGAGTAGCGTTTTAAAGGAATTTCACAGAAATTTCTATTTTTAGTAACCATGGCAACACCGTCCATCAAAATCAAAAACCGATGCACTAAATTATGTATCTTAGTGTAGTCTACTCGTGTGCCAAGTTATATTGAAATCGGACCAAAA